ACTGAACCCAGGTAGCCAGTGGCTGAAGGGTTTGAGCACAGTGATGAGCATCAGGTTGAGTTCCCAGGGAACCTGGGCCAGCCCAGCTCCTGATTTTCCTGCCTCACCAGCCAGGGGCGACAGTGGCAGTGGGGAATTCACTGGCCCTGGAACTTCTTTGGGGTTCCATCCTCAGCCAAAGCAGGACCCAGGTATCTAGCCTGTGGCTCCTTCTTGATGAGGCACAACTTGGACTTCATCAGGATTCCCTGCAGTATCAGTGGGTGAGTTATTTACAGACCACTCGGTAATACCTATCTGCCTCAGGGAGTATATGTGGATTGATAGGCCCTTCTGGTTCTCAAAGAACTCACTGTAGAACTTTAGCAGATGTTACATGCCCATTCTGCCTGGGACTGAAGGTTTAAGGATGTCATGTCTTCCTGCAGCTCCTCCAGGAACTCTCACATCAAGGGTCCCCAGCAGCATCTCCTGCTTGATTTTCATTTGCATTTTTTCAGGCTTCAACTTCTTGGGCAGGGAGGATGTAGCTCCCAGATCAGCTATGTTCAGGCTACATTTCTCTTTTACATCTGTTTCTGTGCCATCTTTGTCCACCACATATCTCCCTTTTTCTGTCAGTTGTCCCCTGTGTTGCACAGCTGGCTACCATTGGCACAGTGCTAATGCATTCTTTGTCACCTTGATAACCAATGTTTCAGGGTCTCTCTAAGTCTTTCTGTCCAATATTAGACTTCAGTCTTTTCCTTCAGCCATCCATCTTACCAAGATGCTGTTCTCTGGCTGTCCCAGTCACTGAATTCCAGTCACTGAAAAGCTGGAAGGTGCTTCTTACTTCAAATCCACCATCTTGGTTCCTGTACAAAGGTTTTGGAATTCAGATCTTAAAATTTAAATCTTAACTGATGAAACTGACCAAAATGCAAGACATTTTTTAACCTCTTCCATCCTTTTTATTAATATCTGAACAATGAGTTTAAAAAACCTTGAAAGACCAGGTAACTTGTTTTTTTTTTTTTTTTTTGGTCCCACTATGTAGGTCCCACTATGTAGCCCAGGCTGGCCTTGAATTCATGAGCTTCCTGCTTCAGCCTCTCTAATCCTGGAGTCACAGGCATGACCATCATGCCAGGCTCATTTAAACTATTTCAGAACATAGTAAAAGGGGAACTTCCAAATTCAATATATAAAACTGGTGTCATTTAAGTTCCTGAATGGTACACCAATCACATTTATAAATATAAATACAAAAGATCAATCAATGCAAAAACATATTTAAAATCATAGCAGTCAGAATCCAGCAGTGCATTTTAAAAAAGTAGATCATGACAAAGAAAAGCTCATTCCAGAAATACAAGGTCAAATATTGTGAAATATACCATATAAGTCATTCTGTTAGTAGAGCAGCTAAAGAGATAAAGCTCATATGGTCATTTCCATAAGTGCAGAAAAGTCCTTGATAAATTTTAACACATGTATTTTATTTTATTTTTCATTCAACAAATATGTATTCAGCATCTGTTGTGTAACACAAAGGCTACATGAGTAAGAAAGGATTCTGGCTTATTCCAACTTCCATTCCAGTGCAAGGAAAGTCAGTAAACAACTAAGGGGATAAGCCAGTTTTAGCTAGAATGTACATTTATTTTTAAAATTCCATAATATGTTTATTAATTTTATTAATATAGTTAACGCAGGTCAAAAGTTTGCATTTTACTTAATTGCAAAGATTTTTCTTCTTAAAGTCAGAAATATGATAAAAATACCGACCATGTCTGCAGTATTTAATGAGATTTGAATAATTACTTAAAGAAGAAAACAAAAACAGCTAAAGTTTAGAAATTAGGAAGACAGGGATAAAATCATTGCTATTTACAGATTATGTAAATATACAAATAGGAACCTCAAAAGAATCCATAGAAAAACTATTATAAAGAGTAAGAAATTGAATCCAGCTTCTGGTCATAAAATTAATATAAAAATCAATTACCATCACATATGTAAACAAGAACTAGTTAGAAGATGTAAGGAAGATTCTGTTTAGTGAGGATGTGAGGAGAAAGGAACCCTTGTACACTGCTATAGGAATGTAACTAGTGTAACTGCTATGGAAATCGGTATGGAGGTTCATCAAAAAACTAAAAATGGGAGTAGAGGTGAGACTCAAGCTATAGAGTGCTTGCTTTGTAAGTCTGAAGCCCTGAGTTCAAACCCTGAACCCACAAGAAACAAAACAAAAAAGTAAAAATAAACCTTCCTTGTGGCCCTGCTATGCCACTCTTGGGTGTGTATCCAAAGGGGTGTAAACCAACAAACGAGAGTTCCTGCATACCCATATTCATCATAGCACTATCTACGATAGCCACACTTTGGGATCAGCCTCAGTGCCTAACAACTGATGAATGGATACAGAAAATGTGGCCTATGTACACCAGTGAGTATTATTCAGCCACAAATAAGAGTGAAATTACGACATTTGCAGGAAAATGGATAGAAGTGTGGAGATCATGATGCTGGGCAAGATAAGCCAGCTCAAAAAGCCAAATATCACGTTTTCACTCTTGTGGAATTTAGACCTAAAGTCACAATGGTGATTAACAATAATAATGGGACATGAGTGTGAAAGCGAGACTGAACAGACCAGTGCAAGCAGGGAGTGGGCAAGGAGAGGGTGCTGGTGTGTGAAGAGCATCAAAATACGTTGTGTGTGTATGATGACATAATAAAATCCACCAAATACTGTTTGAAAAAGGGGGAGGGAAAAGGGAATAAGAAAATACAATAGGTGGGTTATTCAATGAACATTGATGCATCTAAGGAATTGCCACAATGAAACCTCCCTGTACTATTAATAGATGGTAATAAAAATAGTTTGTTTTTTTAAAAAGCATTCTATTTATAACAAAAGATATAAAAAGATATTTAAAACAAGTACACAGAAAAGTTTTAAATTCTCTTGAAAGAAGCAAAAGTATACTCAAAAGTTTTTTAGAATTATGTTATTAGTGAAAAGACCATTATATAGATGTCAACTTTTCCTAAAGTAATATATAGATTTTATGCAATTACAGTTAACAATTTTGTAAAGTTTTTTCTGAAGGCATGCAGATGAGCTGTCAGCTGTAACATGGATCTTCCATTGGCCTCCATTTGGGCTTTTCAGTCATTGGAGAGGTGACAGCCTAAGAATGTAATTTGCGGAGACAAAACTTTTCACTGCCTCCTCAGTTTCATCTTTAATGTGCTCCCTCTCCTGATCGCAAGAATTTGCTAGACAAGAATGCTAAGGTGTGCAAGACAATGCTATTTGCTTCAACAGCACTAGTGCCAAATGATCTTGGTTACAGTGGTGAGGTGGTGGTCCAAGATTGCTGGTTTTTTTCGGCCAACATGGATTTTCAACTTACGCTTTTTATCCCAAACTGGTTATTTATGATAAGTTATAGACAGTTTTTATTAATACAAAACCCTAGTATATGTTCCCAGCTCCTTTCCCCTACTGTGGCTTTTCCTTCGTCCTGAGCCTTTCCTGTACTCCCCCACTGCTCTACTTTTTCTACCATTCTTTCTTCCTAGTGCACTCTCTCTCCCCTACTCCTTTCTGAAAACCTCTCATTCTTTAGTGTGATTTTCAATGGTTCCTTTGAAAATAGTTTCCTTATGTTTCTAGTTGAATGTGAAATACTTGTATTTACCAAAACAAGTTGGCCTTTGTATTTCTCTTGCAGTTCAGTATTCAACTATGAATATTATCAATACAGACTGTGCTTTACCTGGGCAATTTCTGAAAGTTTGCTTATTACACTGCTGATAGCTAGCATCAAAAGATGACATTGAATTAGGAAAATCTAAGGGCTTGGCTTATCCTAATGGATAATCCGAATTGCCCATCAGCCTTTGAAAAACTATAACTTGGGTATAATCAGTCACTAGATATCTTACACAGAAGCAGTGATGGTCTTCACCATAACACTATAAAATAGACCCTCTGCTGGCCGAATAATGCTGACTCCCGGGGAAAATTAATGTTTTCCCTAGGCCCTGTTAGCACCTACACACCAGGCAGAGGGCAGGGTATCCACCTTGAACTGTGTCTTCCTTAACACTTGAGATCAGCCTGTATTTCACACAGGGAAGACCCAACAGCTAACTATATCTTTATTAAAAAGTGCGAACAGCTTTCCAGGGAGATACCAAAGATGGTAGAGGGAGGCAGGTCCTAGTTCTGAAGGGCTGCCGCCATTTCCTGGGCAGCCTGGCAGCCACTGTGACCAAGCAAATACTGCTGGGCGGCAAGGTTGTGGGTTTGTGCTGTGAAGGTATCAACAATTCTGGAAATTTCTACAGAAATTTAAGTGCTTGGCCTTCGTCCGCAAGCGGATGAACATCAACTCTCCTGGGTCGCGAGCTACATCTTTTGGTGAACTGTACTAGGCATGCTGTCCCACAAGGCCATGTAACTAGGCTGCCGTGGAGTGGCTCAAGGTGTTTGCTGGGAATCCACTGCCCTACTTCAAGAAAAGCACGTGGTGGCCCCGCCACCATCAAGGTCTTGTCTCTGAAGCCTGAAAGAGTTTGCCTACTTCGGGTGTCAGGCTCTTGAGGTTGGCTGGAAGTACCAGGCATTGACAGCCACCATGGAGGAGAAGAGGATGGAGAAGGTCAAGATCCACTACTGGAAGAAAAAGCAGCTCATGAGGCTATGGAAACAGTCAGAAAATAAAAAAACTAACAAGTTCACAGATGTCCTATAGACCGATGGACTCCTGGTGTGAGCACCTAAAGACTGTTTATGCCTTAAAAATATATAGTTTTTGCTAAAGTCCCCCAAGTAAGTTATTTACCTTTATAGATGTGTGTGTGTGACATTGCCGAGTGTCATGTTCTCATTAGTTTGTTCACCTTTTTGTGAATATGTGACTGACAAGAGGTGAAGCATTTGTGAGTGTCTGTTCATATGAATTATTCTGCAAAAACACAAGTCTTTCTTTTTCTTGCAGGAATCCAGAAGCTTTGAAGTCTCAAGAAGAGAAGGTAGGGGAATGTACTCATATTCATTTCATTCTCAGTGTTGACATTTTGGAAGTAGTTTTGTGGGAAGTAAGGTGAACTTTAGACTGGACAGCCCATTCTTTGAAATTTCAGGTGGCCTTTTCTGGGTACTGCCTGCCTGGCACTTGACTCTACAGACTCAAGAACTGAAGGCCGGGTTTTCTTTTGAGAATTAGGGTTTCTGCCTTTGCCTATGAGAGGTGTGTCTAAGCAACTGACTCACTCATGATCACTCAGGGTCTCTTAAGAGAAGTCTCAGTTTTGAATGAAGTTTGAAGCAATTATTTGGTTTTACTGAACAAAAGCTACATAAATAATATCAAAATATGGTTTACAGTTTGAGAAATGTCAATACTGGTTAGGAGATGTCACTATGAAAAATATTTCTGATTAGATTTTCACAGCTTCAGCTAAGCTAAAACAGAAATAACCAATTAGTTTCCCTCTTGAAAACAATTCCATGATGTTCTTTTTTTCCCTGCTAGCGTTTCTCTAGCACATTTGTTTTCTTGTCTCTCAGGTAAGCGTGTATGGATAGTAATTTCAGAAATCATCTAGTGGAAATTAGAATTTCCTTTATTCACTTTTAGTGATACCTAATTAGAGAGTGTCTTTTGTGTGATTTGTGGACTCATTGACGATCATCTCCTTATTGTAGGTATGAGAGGATAAAGTCAGAAACAAGTGAGTTCTTGTTCTAGGGTATAGCCTTTGGTTTTAGCTTTAACTGCATCCTTCTTTGTGGTATCATCTCCAAAAAGAGTGATGGGGTAAAATAATACTAAAAAATATAATTGCCTCCTTGTTAGTTTCTATGTTACACAACACAGTGAAAGACCTGGTGGCCATGTTACCAGTGTGTATTTACAGAGCTTGAAACCATAAACCCATAAACTTGTAGCACTTTGTTGCTGTCCATTGTGCTGAAAACCTAAATTCAAAGGATTTGAATAATCTAACTTTAGGATGAACTTCCTGGCTTCTATTTCCATTTTCATTGTCTTTAATTTTGGACTCACTGTCCTTTGAACTGTATCCATAGGAAAAACTGTATTGTTTGGTTACCTACCAAATTAAATTGAATGAAGGTGCATGGGGCAGAGAAACATTTTTTTTTAATTGAAAGTTGTGTTTACAACTGGCACAGTGACCATGTAAGTTAGAGTGCAGTCACCATAATGAGAGAAGAAGTAGACGTGAACTTTGGCTTTGAATAATATGCTATTCATGACAGTACATCTATGTGTGGATGTTTAGAATTAATTTGCATTATGGTGTCACACATAAACTTAACCTTTTTGGAATCTTATTGCCCTTGTGCTGGAAATGTCTCTGATAAGACTGGAGTTATGAGGGACCATGTGTATTTTTATCCAAAGGTGTAAAATTCCTGACTGCACTTAATGACTTCCCCAGATGAATGAGTGTCCCTATGATGCACAAAGGCAGAGTCAGGGTGTGCCATCCTCATCCTCGGCTTCCCCCTGTCTGGCTGGCTTATGGGAACATAAGCTTTGGGATTGTACTCGCAGATTTCTCCGAACATCACAGCACCTTTTCTTGTCCTGTTGTGAAATGACATCTTTCTTGCTAGTTTCTGTCAAAGTTGACTGTTTATGATTTCCTGAAACTCAGTGCTGTAATGTCACTGCTTATAACTTAGCAGGAAGGAGGGAAAGGTGGGACCTTGCAGATTTGTTTTAAGTATCTTTGTATCTGAGAATTCACAGAAATGAGTGTGGGGTTGTTACTCTCCAGAACAGTGTATCAGTATAAAAATAATAGAGGCACTATGAATACTGCAGTAAATTATTATTCCCACAAGCAAAACTAGATCACTATTGTCTAGGAACCTATACTTGAGTTGAGTCCATTCTCTTACTTGACCTGGAACTACAAGAAGAGCGGGTAAGTAATGCCCTGTTCACTAGGCTCAGCAGGGTCCACATAGGACCAGAGAGCCTTCTGGTCTAGAGAGGCAGCCTCCCAACAATACAACCTAAGAGAGTTCTCCATATAGGCTTATTTGTTTCAATACTACAACTAACTCAGGGATATCAGATTCATCTGGAGTTTAGTGTCACAAATGCATGGCCCATTGCTACTTCCAACTATGACTTTTAGACACACGACCAGGTCTGTGAGGTGAGACATGAGAGGGGTTGATATTAGTCTTGGAAATGGAGTCCACACTAAGTCCCAGTGGGAGTTGGACTTTGGGGTGAAGTGAATGTACTGTGTGCCATAGTCCTGCTCTCGTCCTTATTTCTCCTCCTTTCCTTCGAGGCTTAGGTGTGTGGTATCTTGCTTTCCAGACTATAACCTAGTTTTCTTGCCTCTGACTTTGCTCACACTGTTCCTATAGCCTGTATCCTTTGTCCTTCATCTCAAATTCACCTATCCTTCATCCCTTCCAACTCTCAGCCTTGAAGTGTTTAGCTTACCCTACTAATTTGAGATATGAGGGATCCTATTGGTTATTCATTTTCTAAAAGCAGAAATCCTCCTAAACTAATTCCCATATTCCTCACAGCCCTAGCCCAGGGCCAGTAATTGTTCAATAATTGTTCCTTGAATTAATTACAAGTTACCAATTTTCTTTGTGTATATTGTCTTTTCACTCTGGTCCCATTTTAGTGATATACAAATAAGGCACTTGAGATTGTTGGTTTTCAAAAAGTACTTTTTGAGGCACGTTCTGTGGATATCCTGGCCGATACATTGATGAAAGTGTTTCATGTTGAAATAAGCTTAGTGTTCTGGGCTGAATGTGTTCCTCGAAAATGTATGTTGGAAGTTGAGCATGGTGGTACATGCCTGTAATCCCAGAACTTGGGAGGCAGAGGCAGGAGGATCGCAAGTTTGAGACAGGCCGGGTCTATGTGGCAGAACTCTTGAGTCAACAAACAAACAACAATAACAAACAAATAAAGAAGGCATATTGAAGTCCTAACCCAGAACTTGTGAATATGACCTTATTTGAAAACAGGATCTTTGCAGATGGCAGATGTAATCAAGGTAAGAGAAAGTTATACTGGATCAGGGTGAGCTCTAGTCCAGTGAGTGATGTTCTTATAAGATGAGGAAATGTTGGATAAATAAGTGAGAATGTCATGTGGCGATAGAGGCAGTGGATTGCTAGCAACGGCCAGAAGCTAGGAAGAGGCAAGAAAGCATTGTCCCTTGGCCAAGCCAATTCCTTGATTTTGGACTTCCAGTTTCCAGAATGGTAAGAAAATAAACTTCTGCTTCTTAAGCCACCTAGTTTGTGGCTCTTTATTGTAGCAGCCCTAGGACACCAGTGCACTTTAAAAGTGCTGGACTCAATAAACCTGAACTAGTTTTTTTTGATGATGATGCTTTCAGTGAAGAATCTCTGTTTTTCATATGTTCAATATAACTCTCAACAGGAAACGTAAAATGTGATGTTTTCCCTGGTCAGTTTCCCATGGAATTAAACAAAATTAACTTTGCTGTCTTTGCTCGGGGTTGGCATTCCATGCAGCACCCTTTGCAAGCTGTACTCTAGAGAAACCAGGAAGAGGGATGGCTTCCCAAGAGTCTACAGGCACCATGGCCTGTCTTCCTAGGACTGTGCCTGCCCCAAATGGTGAGGCAGTAACAATTTCTGGGTTGTTGGGAAGCTTTCAGAGAGCTCTCGTGTTCTTCATCTCTCTTAACCTTCAGTACCCCATGACACAAGCAAAGTAGATAGTACCCACACATGGGATTCTTTCCTTCCTTTCCATGTTAATTTGTGGGAAAGACAAGGACTCCCTCTAGGCTCCTGTCCCTCTGATGCACTGAACCTCTCTCTGATGAGTGGTGGTTGCTTGAATGATCTGATCTTGCCTCATCATATCCAAGGGCTTCTGCATGTGACATTGGTTGACAAATCTAGGGGACTGAGAGGAAACCTTGGAAGAGAAGTTCCTAGGGCTTTGTATCTAAGTTAAATTTGTGTTAAGGATCCTCTCAGGGGATCTTGACAGAGATACAGTTGCAGAGATTGAGGCAGGACTTCAGGTCCAATAGTGTCTCCTGGCAAGGTCACGTGCCTGCTTCAGAGAGACAAAGTCATTGTCCTTCAGGACAGTCCTTTTACTAACCTCTACCTTTATGTTCCCTACCTGCCTGTGCTGGCCTCACAGGGAAGGAGCGATGGCTTCATCTTTCTCTGCTTTATAACCCAGGTATTCTTATCCCTCTTTCCAGATACCTAAAATTTAATTTCAACCTTTCCCGAAGCTTCAGCAAGAGGTGCCAACCTTACCTCTCCAGAGGTAAGGGAGTCCTTGTCCACTCTGAGGGCCAGTGCTGATTGTGACTGCCAGAATTTATCTACTCAAACTAATATTTTTCTCTGACTGATCCCATCACATTGAATTACAGCAGGAGAGAACACTTGTGTGAGCTGAGCAAGTTCCTGGGCTAATTCCATCCTTGTCAGCCATCTCTAAAGGAGCTGGGGGTGATCTGTAAGCTACTCCAGATGTCTGTGATTGTGCTATGATTAGGGGCTGCGAGTTTGGGGATGGGCATCAATGTCATGTTGCATTTTTCTCCCTCCCAAAGATGGCTCACTCGCTCTGTGTTCCACCCTGGCCTGGCTTTCAGCAAGGCTATGTGGGAGACTTGAAGAAGGATGCTGCTATCTTCAGGGAAAATGAAAGAAGGGAGTGACAGTGACACATAGCCTGGGTGCCTCACTTAGGCTACTTAGCAATGCAGATCTCCTAAATACACCTGACCTTCCAGTCTTGAGTGTGAAGCTAGAGCCTCACTTCCTGAAAACCCTTGGAATTAGTCCCTAGTTGGCAGCGGGGTCTCTAATAGCTGCTTTATAGTTTCCTGCAGCTGGGTGAACTTCAGCTATAAAGAAGAACATTCTGTTTACTGTTAATTTTGATGTTATTTAGCAGATGTTTTCCGGCTCTCTCAGTTGCTTGCATAATTTATCTCAGATAATGTTAAGTGGCTGA